AAAATTGCAGCCCTTCACTGGCAATGATGACGTCTCCATATCAGTGAAATATTCTGGAGAGGGACGTTAAACAGTATGCAATCAATCAATCAATCAATTTCATGATGATGATCAATCGATTGGCTTGCGCGATAATTTTATGCATAAACGCCCTCGGCGTTTATGCAAATTATCACGCAAGCCAATCGATTTATCACATCATGAAATCGAAAAATAAGACAGTTATTCCTTAAATATAAACAATTCGTCCGTACACACAGAGAACTAGGATTACATAAATAGAATTGCTTTTAATGTCTGACTTAGAATTATCACGGAAAATTAATGACAGTGTTATATGTATGTACTGACTTTTGGTAAGAAAAATATAGGGATAGAGAGAGGGGGGTCATAGAGACAGGGGAAGCAACAGAGAGAAAATGAAAGCGATAAAGACAAGAGAAAGCGATAGAATCATTTCATTTCCCAAAGATAATAAAATCATTTACAAGGGTTATTCAAAAAGTTCTGCAACTTATGTCATATCTTTTTTTTAGTTGACGTCATATATTATCCAAATGTGGTAAAATATTTTAACAAGAAATTCAAATGATTTGTATTATATTTTTAAAATATTTCGATCTATTCAAAACGTATCCAAAGTTGAAAAATGCAAAACTTGGATCGCGGAGCAAAATTTAGTAAGTTACAAAGAAAATACTGAATATTATCTGTAGTAATATTCTCTGTAAAATTGACAAAAACAAAAAAAAACCCTGGAAATTCAAATTAAAAATTGTAACAAGAATAAAAATTGTAACAAGATGACAAGGAGAACACGGCGGGTTTGACCGGTCGGCAGGGGATGCTCACTCCTCCACGGCACCTGAACCCACCTCCGATGTTTTGGAAGTCTGTGTTTGCTCAGCTCCTATATAATTCTGTATTGTTTTATGGATACTGATTACTGTTCGTTATCTTCATATGTTTCATCGATTCATATTCCAGATTATAGCATAATATTCTGCTTCGTTGAAAAGAAATCAACTTGAGAAGATTGATTGATTGATTGATTGTATATTGTTTAACGTCCCTCTCGAGAATTTTTCACTCATATGGAGACGTCACCGTATGCCGGTGAAGGGCTTCAAATTTTGACCTTTACTCTGCACTCAGGGCCATTGAGCAGTGAGGGATCTTTATTGCCAACGCCTACCGCTGACATGTTTCGAAGAATCAACTTTCACTTCAAAGAGCCGAGCGCATGGCGAAGGAACAGTTGCTACCAATTTTAACGACTAGGTCAGTCGCGGCCGAGATACGAACTCACGACCTCCCGATCTCGGAGCGAGCGCTCTACCGACTGAGCTACCGTGAAAGGTACCGGTACTTGAGAAGATAGTTCTCATTGAAAATGACAAAACCGATGACGTTTAAGAGCGTACGTCTGTCATGGATCAGCAGAAAACGATGCAATTTTGTGGTTTTACTTGGGACACTGTACAACTATATATTCAAGAAGTGGTGTAAATCAGAAACTAAAAATTTAAAGAACTTTTGGACAATTTGAAATCACAAGACTTTACAAAAATCAACAGCTTAAAAACTTACGACTTTTCAACTTTATACACAACAATTCCCCACGACAAATTAAAATCCAGGCTTTTTGATATCATTGACAGCTGCTTCTTCAACAAAAATGGAACTCGTAAATTTACTTAGTCATTGGTCATTTGAAAAATTATTTTGTTAAAACAGATTCTGATTGCATACATATAAGTACTCTGAAGTTGACATCAAGTATCTTGAGTTTCTGATTGACAATATCTATGTGGTTTTTGGAGACCAGGTATTCCAACAATCTTTGGAATTCCCATGGGTCAAATTGCGCTCCGTTATTAGCAGACTTATTTTTATATTCATATGAAACAGAATTTATGCAAAATCTTATGCGTGAAAAGAAGAAAACACTTGCTGTGGCCTTCAACTCGACATTTAGATATATCGACGACGTATTGTCAATTAATAATGATAATTTCCATTCCTACGTCGACGCGATATATCCTGGTGAGCTAGAGATAAAAGATACCACAGAGTCCGACACTTCTTCTTCATACTTGGATATTTTACTTGAAAAAGACACTAATGGTAATCTAACAACCAAGCTATATGATAAACGTGATGACTTTAACTTTTCTATCGTCAACTTCCCTTACTTATGCAGCAATATACCTTCATCACCTGCATACGGAGTACATATATCTCAATTGATTCGATACGCAAGAGCATGCTCTACGTATGAACAATTTCTTAAACGAGGTAAATTACTGACAAGCAAGTTGATGAAACAAGAATATCAACACAAAGTCATCAAAATTCATATACAATGACCTTGTCAGCAAATACAATTTATCATTGTCAAAACTGACGTTTTTCATACCAATTGTTAGTCCATTATTTATACACTGAATTGACGAATTTTTTCGTTATTTCCTGATCATGACAACGAGCACAAAGATTTCCTCCATGGCACCTGATCCCACCTCTGATGTTTCGGAGGTCAGTGTTTGCTCTGCTCTGATTTTGTATATTGTTTAATGGACTTTGAGATTAAATACTGTTCGTTATTTCCATATCCTTCTGAATAAACTTTTTAAATCTTCGAGGAATAAAATAATATTTTGCATGTGCACATATAAATATCTGAGTGATAGAAACTCTGTATCGGATTTGGACAGTCTGTGAAGAAATGATTTAACTGTAAAAGTCTAAACAAAAACTTGTAAAAGTTAGAACGTCATTGAAAGACAAAGGCGCTTCAGAGTTGCTGATTTTGTGAAGGCAGAATGAAGTAATAAAAGAAACTAAAATATTAACAAAGATCATTTGTTAATAAATAAATTTTTAAAGATTGTTTAAGGGGGGGGGGGGGGGTATTGGAGTATATTGTGTGACATGTATAGGGAAAGTATTTTTAAGAAATTCTTGACTGTGTTTTGACGTTACATTGCCGCTAAGTGTGCTCCGCGGGTACAAATTGATTTTGATTTAAAATGAAGTAAACGAATGAGACTTTACACATCAACAAAACAAATATTTTACATATTATATTGTGTCTATTTTAAATTTCTTGAAAGTAATAAAACGAAGATTAACATCGTCCACGATATTTTCAAACAAACCCTCGTATTTGAAAGTATGGTTTTAATTTCACTCACCGCGGTCAATCGAATTTGCTTTACTTATAAATGCGCACCGAGTACAGATAGCATCATCTGATCATGGCTTAATTAAAAACGAGGAAATGTGTATGGAAGTTTAAAAAAGTTCATAGAGACTGAACATTGTACAGCGTACGTGATAAGATCTACTGAGAAGCTTCATATAATTTGAACATGTGACCGACAAAGTGCATTTCCCCTCAAAAAACCTTGTTTTTTTTTTCTCTTAGTCAATCTTTCAGTGCGAACAGGCCAGAAGTTTATTTTAAGTGATTTTTTTTAAGTTTAAAAAAAATCAGTATTTTATTTATCAATTATTGCTATCTAAAGCATTTACTCAGAAGATGACGGCATATAATACGAATACTTCTGCAGCCACTGAAGACATTTAAGTTCTACAATTATTCTATTTATTTAAACGCGGAAGAAACAGTTACGAGGGTCGTTATACATATTCTTTATAGTTTCAATCCCTCAAGGCATTTTCTGTTACCCTTTCCGTGTGTCTTAGGTCTTTGTATCCATGAATAGAAATCCTCAGCATACTCATCTTTAGGGATGGCCTAAAGACACTGATGAATATCATTTCCTATGACATATATGACATTGTACAATCTTCCTTTGATTGTTTTCATGTGTTTTGGGAATGAAAAATCTCACAGTGGATGCGATCAAGAAAATATGGGTGACTGAAAAGTCTTGTATACTTTCTTTTCTTCAAAATCTTATTTATTTCGCTAAGCGTATATGCAGCTGTGTTGTCAGGCACAAGAAAAAAATACCCTGGTTGCCGAATTTTCGACTTCCTTTTCAGGAAATCTGCTCAACTTTCTTTTGTGAAATTTGAAGATAAAACTTACCATTGTTAGTCCTCCATTTGGATGTATTAATGCTTTAAATCAAACTTTTTAAATGCACAAAAACAAATAAAACGTGTTTGGAGCCATTGCTTCTCTTTATCATAATTAAATGACGTCCTTTTCTTTGATCCCACACTTTTTATCCTTCATCTTATTTTACGGCTATAAAAAGTACACCCATACATTAAGCAAGTTTATCAAATCTTCTATTTTGTTTACATTTTTTTTCAAAATAGACCGTTGGCACATTTAACAAATGTTCTCTCTTGTGAGAAAATATGGCACATTTCTGAATGAAATATTGTTATATGTTTTTCTTTTGTCAGAATTCTACAAAATGCTGTGACGATTGAATTTTTAAAATCTTAACAATGTCTTCCCAAGTAAATAGAGCATTTTCAAATTTCATGTGGCACATAAAGTCGATATTTTTTGTGTCCCCGCAAATTTCAATTGACCACATTGGCTGTTATATTTGAACTCTCGGTTTTTTCTTCTGAATTATTGAATCCACCTGAAAGTATACAGCGTTAAAGATATTTCTATTTATAAAAGTCATATCTTAAAAATGAGGTTTTCGACGATTTATGTAAAAAGCACAGTTTTCAAATACGCTCTTATTTTCATTTTCTTGGCAGAGATCATTTATAAACAGTTTTCAGCTCAGTGTAGTGACCATGCTTTCTTTCTGTGTGAAGACAATATAAAAATTCGTGGAATTTTCTGTGTTTGGGAGCTCTTTAATAGAACTTTTCAAATATAAAAAAAATTAAATAAAATGCATTAATATTTATTATGATATACTGTGTATTGCATTACTTATTGAACGACCCTCGTAAACCACTTGATTTTCGCTACAGTTATCTTATCTGAAGCATCCGGTGAGTAATTTTTTATAAAGGAAGCACAACAAAACAATTAAACACTTTCCTTTTGAAGATATCCCCCACCATATGTAAAATCGTTCGTACCCAAAATATTTCAAAGCCAAAGTCAAAAAAGCTTTAAGACTCTTGGACAAGTAGAAAAAAAGGGAAAGTCATAAGGAGAGATGAAATGCGTAACAGTTCTTCCTTTGGTACAGAAGAAATCACCATCGACCTTGAGAGTTTTAACGACGCATACATCCAGCGAAGTCTGCCGAATACAATAGTGATCCTGTTTTTCCTGTTTGTTGGAGTGTTAGGAAACTCTCTCATTCTCTATGTGTATCGATTCCGTTTTCCACGATCCGATGGACGGTACTTCATCGGTGTTTTAGCATGTTCCGACCTTGGTTCTATAATTTTTACATCCGTATTAAATCTTTTACAGAACTTGACGAAGTATGTGTTTCCTGGAGATATAGTGTGCAAGGGCGTTTTATACCTTAGTTTTTCTTTCATTAATACTTCATTGTTTCTTTGGAACGTTATTGCTGTCCAGCGGTTTCGCAAAATTTGTCGGCCTTTTTCTTGGCAACTGACGCACCACTGGAGAAGATGGTGCATAGTGATCTGTGTTGGTTTTTCGTTCACATTTTATTCACCAGTTCTTTATTTTTATGGGATAAATGAGGAGGTTTTCACAAATGACAACATTACAGTATTTGTCTGTCAGCAAACAAAGACGCATACATTTGGAATGGTATTTTTTCAAGGAATAGGAGTCATTTTGTCAGTTTCTAATGTGATCGCTATCATAACTATATACGTCATCGTTTCTGTCAAAATCTTTAAGGTAATGCGAGGAGTCCAAAGAACACGCACAGAAAGCTTTAGAAGTGTGACTGACATCGCCACTGAGCAAAACCCTCCCAGAAGCACTATTTCAGAATCCCATACCGCCGCTCAAAAATTAGAACACACTATTGCGTTTACATTCATGACAATTCTTCTTATGGGTTTGCTTTCTTATGCTCCTTCACGATATTTGTTGGTCCACGAGACTTTAGATCCAACGTTTTGGGACAATTTGGATTACAGTAAATTTAATTTCTATCTATTTCTAAGAAGGATATATGTTATAAACCATTCTTGTAATATCTTTATTTACGCAATATTTGATACCATGTTTCGAAAAGAAGTAAGAAATCTAATCGGGGTGAGCTCTTTTTAGACTTTGAAAAACAATTTTAACAAACAGGTGAAATGAACACATTGTGAATATTTGCATCTCAGAAGTTAGAATATGAAGCTAAATGACATTCTGTTACAGGTATCAGTTGGGATCCTAAATCTATGATTGTAATGAAGAACAAGGTATCCTTCAGCAACATCAAAATAAAATTTTAAATCTTTATCCTTTAACATTCTTTAGAAAAGACAAAAAAAATTGTTTCTCTCTCATTTTTTTTTTTACATTTCCAGGTAAAAAATATAGAACATTCTTAATTTGGAACTTTTGAATTTGTATAAATATTTCAAATATAATAAACAATGCAGGAAAATACATCTCTGTATTTTTTAATGTTGAGTGATACATTTCTAGCATTGTTTTTTAATTAAAATATAATTGCTTTTATTTTTATATCAATAGTGAATTTCTAAAAGGAGGTCGATCAAGGCGATGGGTGCGAAGTTTCAACAGTGTCATGGATTATGCAAACAATTAGATTTATTTAAATATGATATATCTGTAAATAATCAAAATGCTTATTTTTTCATATGATGTTTTGATTGTCTTGTCTTACAATACTTTTTCTAAGTTTTGGGGGAAGACTTATCATATTTTACGTAACTGCTAATCAAAGCTTGTGAATCTGATCCCCTTCTTGTTTGTTAAATTGTTCACATGTTTTGTTTTCCAATATCTCGAATTTAACCGTGCATTTTAATAAATGACGTTATTTTCAATAAATGTCATGTAAATAATTTTAAATAAATATTTCATGAAAGTGAATTTGAAATAAACCTTTGTAAGAGATTACATCATCAATACACAGAACATATATTTGAAACTTATACAAAATTAGCAAAAACAAGCTGCGGTGAGCTTGTCTATAAGCATAAGAATACATAAATGCTTTTGCGTGGTAAATTTCCCTATGGTTTACGACAATATTTTTTAAAAATGCTGAAGAAAACTAAGCAATATTACCTGAATTAGTCGAATTTTAACTAAAGGAGATTTCCTAACCTGTGTAATAAAAAAATAAATGTATTGCCTAATTGTCCAGAATTTATAATAGAACCTTTGTAAGAGTTTACTTCAGTGTATATGCGTGAACACCCTACATTCCTACCTTGTGCTCTATCTTCCAGATAGAGATATAGAAAACTGACTTTTCCCGAAATCCTCCCCAACCATACCCTCCACATTTTTTCTGATTAAACATTTCCCTCAAAAATAACTTTAAAGATATTTGCTGATAAAAAAAAAAGTGAAGTTAGATATTTGTAAATTATAAAATGTTTGGAGAAAGCGAAAAGTATTCAATCTTAAAGTTCTATAAACAATGCCAGAAAAAAAGAATTCAAATTAATCTCATATTCGTTAAGCAAGAACTACACTGTAGTCTAATGAACATATGCGCGGCTTAAATCCCGCGCAAGCACAGGGAATGACGAAATATGTCAAAATCCCGCAGTTTGTTTTGGAACATAAATAGATAATTATAAGAAATACATCCCCTTGTTTTGCTCTTTTCCCCTTTTAAATATCAATTTCATGAAGAAGCATCTTCTTCTTACCTACTATAAAGCAACTTTATAAGGGCTCCACTCTGCGGGTGCCCTATAGTGATCAGTCTGTCTGTCCGTCCGAGATCTATTGTCCTTATTCACATGTCTTCTCTCTCCATGGCCCAATCTGGCTCATACTTCACCCACAGAATGTCTTTGGGTGAAGGGTGTCCAATGGAAACTGCTTTTAGGTCTAAGGTTAATGTCATAGCAGAATTATTTGTATAATCCTTGTCAGGAGCATATCTTCTCTCCTCTTAGTCAAATGTGGCTCATACATCACTCACAGAGTGTCACTGGTCAATGGATGTGCAGTGAATTTAAACAAAAATTTCTAGGTCAAGGGTCAAGGTCAAAAATGGGCTCGCTGTTTAAATTCTTGCCCAGAGTATTTCTTTCTTCTCCTTGGCCCAATCTTGCTCATATTTCACCCACACAGCGCCCTTGGTTAAAGGATGTGCAGTGACCTTGAATCATGTAATGAAAATGAAAATAGACGTGATTTACAATTATTACTATGCTAGTGAAATCTAAATACATATATAGTTTACCGCCATCGCCTTATAGCTAATGTAATTCTAGAGGATTAAGCAGAACTCTTGTGCAGTTGTTTCGGAGTTTAATTGCAAAAATTATTTATTTATAAGTAAAGATAGATAGATTTAATTGAAAAGAGGAATTTTCAACTAAGAGAATTAGGTTAACTTTCCCTTATGCGGCAGAGATCTCTTAACAAATTTCTTACTTTATTTTACTTTATTTCTGAAAAAAGAAAAAAAATAAGCAAAACAAAAATATTGTACACATTTAATAAAAATAATTTTTCCATAATGTAAATTTGCATTGTATGTAAAAGTTAAATTGATCAATGAAATATGAAGGTAACAAACGGCAATCAAGCTGAAAAGTATATTAAATCAATATAAACCAGGAGCAGTACACTCACAGTCTTCTTAACACATAGGAGTTTGGATCAGGAACCTTAGAGAAGAAGGCATTCCTTGTCGACCGGTCACAAACATCTTGTGCTCCTTGTCATGATCGGGCAAACGAGATATAAAATGCATTATGCAATTCACTGTGTTTAGAATAAATCATACAAATTATAAAATAATTATAATTATTTGGTTTTATTATTATCAATGAATTTTTATAAGAATGTCATATTTTACTTTGTTCATTTTTGTTTGTGTTTTTTTTTCTCTTCCTTTGTACATTCTCTTATTACCATTATTTGTTATGTACCTTGACCTTAATGTAGGGAGAGGGCTAAAATAGGCAGAGCCTGCTGCCCAATCCTATTCACTTTTACATATGTGAATAAAATATTTTGCATAGTACGAGGGCTGTTCAATAATAATGACCTCGGTGCTGAGAAGGCAACAAAAAACGCTTTTCAATTCTTTAGCCTTAATGATTTTACTTAAATATTCTTTTTTAATTGAAACACATGTCTGTAACATTTTTATCCAATTTCTGATTGTTTTTAAACACATCTTTGAGCACTGCCCTTCGCATACTGGAATATGGCAGATCCTATGATTTCCTTGACTTGTTTCTTCTTTCTTTTTTTTCCAAGTTTGGAAAATGAAACAAGTAAAGGGTGAAAGATCTGGCGAATTTTGTTGATTTGACTTAAGAAATGAATGTAATATTTTTTTCTTTTGATCGATGTATCAAGGAAAATATTTGGACGGAAAACTTCATCAATGCGCGTAGCACATTGATAAAGTTTTCCATCAAATTTTTCTTTGATACATCGATCAAAGGAAAAAATATTACATTCATTTCTTATCATCTAATTAATGATTTTATGACATAATATTAATGATTTTAAATTTATTAATGTCACTTTTCTATTAAATTTTCAAAAATGAATACATCACAACGTTAATGAAATATTAACGAAAAAATGATTTTAGATATTTACAGTTCTTTTACACAAAAAACTTACCTGTTGTGTTATCCCAATGGGTATATTTTCTAAGTTCGGAAATGTAAAAAAGGGAAGCTATTATATCCTAACAGTTCTAGGTCACAGAAACTTTGGATTTCATTTGCGCATCTTTTCATCTGAATTTCAAACCGAACATATAAATACGTATCACAAACTGTCAATGCTGTAAAACCTGAAAGAGTCTGCTGCCGACTGTTTAAGATTAAAAGAATTCCGTCCACGTTTTTCTCAATCATTCGTTTCCCAGGATTTAACAAATCAACGGTTTTCCCCGCTTTTAATTGGTAGCATAAAAACATTTCTTCCGAGTTCTGTTGTTCATACCAGATATCTTAAAGTCAAAAACATAACAAAATTATGCTGATTTCATTCCTTCTTTCCCAAAGCTGTATTGTTGTTATGCAGCATATATGATTTGCTCAGCAAAGGAGGATAATTCAAAAAAGAAACGAAAGTAGAAAATAAGTCAGAAACGTAACGGACAGGTTTCGAAATTCAGGAAAATATTTATTTATTAAAGTTAAAGTATTTAATTATTCCTTCAAAAAGTAATCTGGAAGCGGGAATATACATGTAAAGACTGCCAAAGTAGTTCCGGCTGCTTAATGCAAGCAAACTCTTAATTTTATTAATGCAGTTATCAAAAGATTTTTTTATCCAATCAGAATCAAGTATCTTATTGAAATTAAATGATAAAACATTAACTCTCTGTTTATCCTTAAAACTTCTTTACTCCTCGTGGCCTATGGGATTGGACGTTGTCATGACGAAATTTAATGTAGTGGTTTCCTGATTTTGGTCAGGAAATCCTCTCATAGACCTTTCGATTTTTTGGGGGCAAAACTTTGTTTTCTAGACTTCTCCAGAAAATGAACTGCCTCCCTGAATAAGAATTTGAACAGCAAGATTTAACATTTAAGAAAATGACATATAAAACTATTTTTGTGCTTTTTAAATACTTTGCTTTTTTCAGACCTTGGCTGTTTTTATCGAGTGTATCTTATTGTAAATTTGTTTACAGGGTTTAAAGCAATGAAATCAAGTTTCACTATCTGTTTGAAGTTCAGACAAACGTGGATAACTTTAATTTTTGATTTTTTAAAATAATGTTTTAGATATTCTTACACGCTGTTGTTTTCACTAATTTTTTTAAAAATAGGGTGACCATTGAGTACCAAGCTTTCTTTACTGCCAAATGTTTCTTTAAAACATTGTAAACTACCCCCAAAATGATGCCTATCAATTTTGCTATGTGTCTTAAATTCAATCAAATATCATCAGTGATTATTTGTTGAATTTTTGCAAACATTACATTGGTTGTTGTAAGTATTTGTCGCCAAGGACGGTACCCATTTTTAATGCCCATTATATCATTTTTGTTCATTGAAATCTACCTGCTCATGTGTATATAAAACAGGCATTAGCTTCTGTAAATTTCACATATTTCAGGGGATATTTCTTAAGGATTCTTAAAGACTTTTACAGCAACTTTCATGAAGCGTTTAATTTCGCTCTTGTTAACTGATTCTTTACCATTCATTTTTAATACAGTGACTCTCGAATAGCCCTGGTTTTCCAGCTTCTCACAATGAAACTATGTGATGAAGTGGTCAAATAAATTGTAATCAATTCATTAAAGATTCAATCATGAGAAAAAGTCAAGCTTAATGTCATATGATTTCTATATTGTATGTCATAGGGCTAATGACATTATTTATTGAAAGCCCTCGTACACATTCGCATATTTTTTTTTTATTTTTAATTTCTTGTTTGTATAAACTTGAATAAAAAAATACTTTTTTTCATTTGAATTACCCAATACCTGTACTGTCTTGTGAGATTCCATTTCAATTTGTGTCTTATGTTTAAAGATTTTTGGAATTTGACCATGGGTCCATAATAATCCGTAGATAATGGTGATCCAGCCATATGCCTTGGATTAATGAAATCCTGTTTACTTCGCAAACAAACCAACATTGTACTCCACGTTACTTTGTAACTGCAGGCAAATGAAAACGATGTATTTGTTACAAAGAATCATGCTGTGAATTTTTCATGAAGTTTATCAAAACTATTTGTGTAAAAGTTTGGTTTTGTAACTTCACATTGATATTCAGATATGAAACAAGTACAGATTCTTTGTACCAGCTTACAGTCACGGACTCAATTTGCAGATCGACCTTTTACACGAGAAAACGTTCTGCAATCAATGTTTCAACTCCAAACTTTTAATGGTTAAAGAAAAGAATGTATTAAGTAAATTCATATTAATTTTGGCTATAAAAATGCTGAGGTCACCTTTAGTGCAGGCTGAACTTTTTCAAACTTTCTTGAAATGTTAGTTTAATATTCTGTGAATATCATAGTAACCATTATTTCGTCAAAAAAGCAAAGAATCGTATTTTAGTTTTCTTTCTCGTTTATCGTTTTACTTCTTAGTTTTACATAAAACACATATAACTATGTGTCAAGGACTCAGGATTTAAAACAAAGAACACTTGTCAAGATACCATAAAAATTGTAATTTAAAACGCTGATCAACAAAATCCTAGATAAATTACAATGATATTTTTTTCCAAATTAAAAAAAAATATTACGATTTACACAAGATTTATTTTGGGTTGTTGAGACAGAGACATTTATTTAACCATTTTTGGTTGTATAATTAGAATTTTAAAAAAAAATATTGAAAAAAAAAGGTTTAACACATATACACGTGTATGCCTTATTTTTTTTTGTCTGTTAGAACTTATTACGCGTATACATTCCTATCCTGGAATCCCACCACACAGTTGATCGGGTCATTTATACCTTGCAGTACAATTCCAGCTGTTCGTCAACTGAGATTACGTCAATCTAGAATGAAAATTTGCCAAAGTTTACAAATATTGGAATAACTTATCAATCTATATCCATTTAAGTGTAGTATACTTGCCACAACAGAAAACATTTTTCCTCACAGAAACAACAATATTCTTAATGTTAATCATCGAGTTTTCTTTCAATGGACAATAAGCCTACGTATTTGATTTGCTTTGTAGGTATCAATAAAGGGTTATTGAAAAATGAAAAAATTTCACAATAAAATGGTCATTATACATGTATACATTATTTCCTTGAAAAAATTCACATAATTATATATCTGCTTTTGCAATTGTGCGGTTTCTTTTTTTTCAATGAGGATAAATTTTTTTGTTCATTCTGATTTCACCACACAGGGCTTATAAATCTTAAAAGTTTAAGGGTTTAAAAATTTTGATAATTTGCTTCATCATTGTTTAATCATTGCATTAAATTATTTACGTCATCACTTTCATAAAAAGGCAAGTAAAATGCATATCAATAATATTTGACATTTAAACAATTGAATTTTAGAGAACCAATTTTCCCCTCATAATATGTAAACAATTAATCATTTTCTCCTCAAATTGGGGGTCTGGGTACAGGGATTGGCTATGCCTGCATGGGTGTAAGAAAAGTGATTGATTAATAGTTGCCTTTACACTTGTAATTAACTCTTTGCCACGAAAACCGAAGAGGAAATTTTGAGTTTTTAAAATCATTTTTAAATGTTAACTCCATTTATTTAATTGAAGATGTTGGTAGATATATAGAATTTAAGATAAGACATTTTTTTGTGAATCTACACATTTTTATTCTTAGGCATTGTCTCTCAGAAAGGAATCAATTTCAAATGCAATTAAAGGGCACAAAGAAAATGTATTATGCATATATTGAAATTCATCCCGGCCTAGAAAAGCTTTGATTTCATGCGCTTCGTTGAACTGATAGAGAACTTCTGAGGATTGTTTGTAATGCAAGTCAAGTGGACACTCTTGAGAGAGAGGAAAAGTCGGCACAGCGAGAAGAATGTTTAAACAACGATGTTTTACATACCAACAATCCCCCGACATAGGTCCTAGATATTTGACTAAATGCGACACGGGAGGCCTATTTATTTCAAAATTAAGTGGAGTTGAAGGTTTCGTGTGCTACTCTTGAGATGCCATAATTGAAACTGTCCGTAAGTCATTTATCAGCGAGGAAAATCGGAGTACATCTTGAGACTCCTTCCCTGTCTCTTTTCTCAGCTCACAGTGCTAAGAATATAGGAAAAGTAGCGGTAGCCATTACACTCGAGCGGATTTTAATGGAGTTAATAAACTTTCATGTTCGTCATCATTAACTTTGAAAGGTGCCAAATGTACAGACACTTACCATCTTTTTTAAGTCTGGGGTCCATCGTGTTAAATAAATCAGCTTTATCGGGAATAATCTGATTTTATATTATTTTTTGCAATGTAATTGTGTCAATTGAGCATTCCAGGGGTGTGAGAAAAACTGTTAAAGTTTGCCAAAACCGATAAGATATCTATTCAAAAAGGAAAATGTTAAATATGTTAAGTTTGTTGTGAAGTTTAAAACAGCAAAAGTCATAAATATCAAAATTAAATTGTGCTTTATTGCTAAGTAAAACATTTATAAAAAAAAATTAAATCAAATAATGCTACATTTCATAATGTTCCTTATAACTCTGATTTCTGAATAACCCTTTATAACTTTTTTACATTCACGGTTTAAATTTGTTGTTTTTGGATATTGTACATTTTAACTTACATTTTTGAGACATGGCAAAAGTAAATAGATATAAATTAAGGATGTTTGTTTCACTTCAAATTTTAAAAGATGATTAATTTGTATTGTATGTTTCTTACCTTTTGTTTCATAATTCATTGGCATTATTAAACAGGAAAAGTTATTTCATCTTTTGTTAATTTTATTATATATTTCCAATATTATTCATATGATATATTCGATTGGCCTATTCATTTTAATACGAGAGTGATTTTGAATGACCATCGAGATGGCTTCAGCTTTTCCATCTTCAACTGTCCCTATTTATGTAGTAATATTCCAATATCAACTGCTTATGGTGTTTATGTCTCTACACTTACCCTGAGTACAATTATTTTGTAAGCAAGGATGATGATGTTACAAGGATTTCAACAATCTCGTTTAAAGAATTTGAAAATCTTATGGTTGCTTTCATGAGATTGCTAGCAAACATAACTTATCATTGGGTCGTATTTTGCCTGACTTTTGGCAGTTTTTAAAGAATTTGATTTGTACTTAATTTGACTATGGATAGTTCCATCTACCTAATTATTCAAAAGGGCCCAGGACTGGTGTGACCAGTCAACAGGGAATGTATATTCCCCCTATGCATCTGATCCTACCCCTGGAATTTTCGGGGGTCCATGTAATATGCTCTCTTTACAAATCTGTGTTGTTTAACTTCATCTTTTACATTATTCTGAAATGTGGAAGTTTTCCATCCAAAAAAGGCAGCAGATGATTGAGAGGAAACCCAGATACAGAAACAAGATATTTTTTATTAATGAAGAATGAATCAAATGTTTTAAAGTTAAATTTTTTTTGTATATATTTTGTGCTATAGTCTTTTAAGGGTTATTAGTTTAAAGTGTGGGATACAGTAATGGGGAATCAATATCTAAAAATGTAATAAGATTGTATTTCGATCTTTTCCTTATACTAACTATACTTAAATTAATTAAATAAATATATCGGTGCATTTACAACCAAAAATTAGTAACATTTCAAAAGTACACGTAAATAAAAAAGTTGCTGCTTATGCCATATGATATAAATAAAATACTTAACTTCTCCCCTAAAGAACGTTGTCTAGATATCATTTATTTGTACCTCTTTCTGAATATAATTGTTATCATTAAGGAGAATAATTGAAGAGTCTTCTTAAACTTGTAGAGTTTCTAACTAAAGATACATATTTGTCAAGTGAATTTTGTCTAAGTTTATGATATACTTTCCAAACATGTCTCGTCGCCTAAACTGCTACAAATCCTTACAGCATTCATTTGATAACCCCAAGTAGATCTCATTATTTGGCAATAAAAAATAAAATGTAATGGTATTTAGTAAGAATAAAAAAATTATATAATTAGAGATAAAAAATTACTTCTGATGTGAAGTTTTTGAAGATACACGTTTCAGCAAAACTTTGCGCAAGGGGGTTCGGGGACAAGAGCATCCATGAAAAAAAAACACGATGGGGCGGAAGCACCGTCTGCATTCCGCCATTGTCGATCCCAGGGATAGAAATCAGATCGTGTATGTGGGTGTTTGTGTGTGTTATTTAAAATGAGAATTTTAATAAAAAAAAATTGTTCTATATCATCGGGAAAACTTTGACTAAATTTCCTCTTCTGAATTATAATCTTTAGTATTCTATATATTAAATCAATGTGCTATTGGTTGAAATTTAGCGAGGAAAGAAGAAGTGGAAGTCTTCCGCAGATTTTGGTAAGTGATTTGTCAATGCATGTAATTTTGAACTTTTGATTTCCCAGATGTAATTGTGGTGAAGAAAACACCATCTTTACCTGCAGTATATGAAGAATGTATATCTATCTATACGTTGACATACCAAAATACATTGTTAACATCATAAAACACAAGCAACTCACCGGATTGTTTAAAATATTTATTTCAAAATTCATAACATTTCAAGACAAACTTTAAAAAAAGGGGGAAAATTCAATACTTCAGGATTGCTTCCATTAGATTTGTCTGTACTACTAATATACAGTGTATCATAACGTTCCTCACGTCCTTGCGAGACAAATTGAACTGATAAATACCTAATTTAGTTTTTTGATCGCACCAGTTCTTTTGAAGTAAATTTGAAAAACAAACATCACGAGTTTGGACCTTTTGTTTTAACAACATTCCTCTATTTGTTGACAAGAGAATTCACTTTTCACAAATATTTCTCATTATTTGTCAAAATGTTTTTATCTTTAACCTGAAACGGGTGTACAAGTCTCTGCTGAGAAAATGATAGATGATGATAATTTGATAACGTCCACTTTTGTGTTTGTTTTAATAATATATTTCCATTCAAGACTAGAGAAATCCATTACCTATCATCACGTGATGTAGATATGGGCGGGCCAATGAAAGTGATCCACAGGTTTTTGCTGTTTTTGGAAGAATCAACAATTCGTTAATACATTTGAAACCAAGAAGAGATAAAATGCTAGACCCTAAGATGTCACAAAAGCTAATTTTGACTGACGGATAGTGAATGATTACATAATACTTTTTTTCAGCAACATAAAAAAATACTTGTGAATTTTTTCATAAAAGAAAAAGCCCCCGCGACACATTTACAACTTTTGTCCTATTCTGGATAGAACAAGTTGATTTTGCGACTTTATAGAATTAGGTATCACTTACCAAAATGAGATTCCAAACAGTATTTTCCTGGATAATGGTGTCCCTGTTCATAGTTGTCAAGGCGTTTTATCCGAACAACCTTGTGCCATTTTTGTCAAATGAGGACTATACACACGAAAGCATCACAGAGGAAGGGATAATGCAAGTTTTCCAAGAATTATGGAATCAGTCTACCAGCAGCTTCCTTAGTCAAAATAACCGAGGTAAGATGTAGATTTCAAAATTAGAGAAACATATTTTCGACTCTTTAAAACATTTCTTTATCTTACATTCTGAAATTCCTGTTTTTCAATGTTTTTTTTGAATTTGTAATGACTGTTTGCAACTGTATTTTATGTAACGATAAGAGAAATTTTAAATATAACATTCCAATTTCAAACAAGACATACAAAGAAAAGCAAATATGCCTCGGAATTTATCTGTTATATGTTAATCTGAAATTGCCTAGATAAAGCGATTTATCTCTTTATTCATACATGAAAAGTCGAAAGTAATTAATTTGCTAAGATCTAGGCAATTACATGATTATATGAAATGTATTAAGGACACATAGGTTACCTGACGTCTGGTTTCACAATAATAATGTTATGGCTTAGGGTTGATCGGGTGTGTTATATAAAGACTTGCACTTTGGAATATGGAATATGATAATTAACTTATTCGGGTCCAAGATGAGATAAAATGAATATGAATGTTAAGTATATAGGAATGTAAAATCATTTTAAGCAAACATGGAAATAGAAACATTCTTATATAATTGGCGCGTTTTCTAAGTAAAAGAAGTAAAAGATGACGAAAAGATCATTAAAAGTATTGCGTCAGCGTATGATTGGATTCTATATATAAATTTTCAAACGATGGGCTACAATGCGTGCTATTTATTTATATAATAAGGATTATTTCATTGATTAATAAAAACATCATTTTATTTTATATTGTTGTTTGATAAATAAGGTATTTTTTAACCATTATGCCTTTACGGAAATGAAGATTTCTACCACTACATGTTTCTCTTTTCAACAAAAAACCCAACGCCACGAATCCCAAGGTCAAGATATATTAGAGATATCTGTAATCCGAAGAACGTCCTATACATCAATATAAGTCAAACTCAGATGCACGACAAGAACATAATAACCTATAAAACCCTCTTCAAGTGACGTGAAGCAACATTGGAAATCTCGACCATGGAAAAATCAACTTCAAATTAATAATATCTGGATTGAATTCACAGCTATTTTAAAAAACATCCTTGTCTATAGCCGTAGACTTCGGGGTCAGATTGAAAGGGGGAGATTGAAAATTATTTCTTTTTCAAAATCTTCTGAGATTAAAGGGAGTGGAAAGGATAAAATACTCAAAACATTAGTTTAAAAGACTTCACATAGCATTTGTGTGTGAGCATGGGTTGGGAGGGGGTTCTTGTGTTGCATAAAATATTGCAATACTGAAACAATTTCACTAAGATGTTCGTATAAACTTTTAACGTAAATATGTTGAAGTGTTCAAACTTTTATTTAAGTATATATATATGTAATTGCCTGTTGTATGAAACATAACGTCCATGATTCATTCTTTAAAAGGGGACTTGATTTTATCTACTTTTAAGCCTTGCCGTGTTTCACTATCAGCAAAGACAACTGAAGTACCGTGTAGACTAGAAGTAAAAACAATGTCAAATAGATTCAATAAAATGTACATGGACCAGGCAAACAAGTCGGCAAACATAACCCTTTGTACAAGGGATAGCAAATAATTCAGGAAAATATTTAAGATAAAACGTTTCATGTGTACTTAATTGCTCTGTGTTCATATCTGTGCAGTTTTAGTTTCAAAATTTTCTGTTTTGATAACGACATCTTAAAGTTAGGTGAAAATAGCGTGTTTTGAAAAATGACAATATTTTAATAAATGCCACAGTTGTGGAGTTTTAAAATGATTCCCCATGAAGTCCAATATCCTTTTACACTTCTTCCCCTCTCAATTAAACTATTACCTAATATCTAACAATCATATCTGCAAGTCATATATGTTTGATCGATTCCAACTGTTTGCATCTTATCTACCGCAGTATTAAAAAAAATACAAAATGCTCATCCGTAGACATTATGTTGGTTTTTGGACCAAGAATTTTTCTAAAGTTATTTTCTGAATTCATTTGACATTCGTTTTCAATAAAGTAAACAGAAAAGGAATGGGGCTGAAATATTTCGTTACAGTTACTGAAAGAAATAGGGATAGGAAGAAAATCGAATCAAATTTATTATTATCAAATACTTATTTTCTGGCTCCAAGTGAGGTTTAAATGTACTTGTGGTTTTATGTAAAATTACCCACTCGATGAATTTAGCACCTCAATCGGAAATCCCTGTTTGAATGAATCAACCTTTTCCAACGATGAGCTTTCCCTGAAAAGTGTCCTTTGTAACACATTTATAGCTATTTCCTATTCATATTAGAAAAAAATTGATCATATGAAAAAGGATAAAATGTACTGCAACAGTCCATAAAGCCAAACATGAAAGCAAATTAAGCCAATATAAAATCGAGGAACATCTGTCAAACATTCTCGTGATATGCTCCTTTTCAAAGTAAATATCATACAGTATTCAAAATACATTGTGTATATATAAGTAAGAAAATAAATATTTCATATTTTGAAATCAACAAACGAGATAATGGTTACAATTTGAGTATTTCCTTTAAAGGCTATGTAACGAAATTTTTGCAGGGGTTTACAAACTGTACATATAAAATAAAACAATATTGAATGTGCCCTTTCTTAAAAAAAACATTCTACTTTTTTACTGATGTACACGTTATTCACTTTATTGCAGTGCTATATTCGTCAATGTTAGAAGAAGTGACTACCAAAAATTAAGATTTTTTGTATATATTTATAGACCCCTTTTTTCCATTTCAAGTGTGCTAATTATCAAATAAATCAAATATTTTGTAAGGATATAAGAGCAGTGTGAACTCCGAAAAAAAAATATTATTCATACATATGATCAATTTTGACGATATCTTCAGTTTAAATGCTAAAATTTATTATTTTATATTTCAGGGCCTTTTCCACAACAAACAGTACGTGAAATTGTAAATTTTATAAATGATGTACAAAGGAAACACTTTAATAATCCAGAATGGCATTTTAGCAATGGAAAAATAATGGAAGGTAAGGTTATATTGTAATGCAATCTTAAAAAAAAAAAGTTTATAATTGTTGTGTAAAACATTGTGTTTACTCTATATGACACAATTTGTGATAAAAATAATATTTAAAGTTTTATTATTTATTATTCTTAATATTCTTCGATGTAACGGAAAAAGGCTAAATGCACAATTTTTTCATTACATTTTCTCAAATATAACTTGTATTGTTGTAGCAAATTACCCCCATAGTTTTTATATAGGACTAGGTTATGCTTAAATGAAAAGAACAAAAAATGAAATGAATTCCAGTATTTTAGCCACCACTGAATTTTTTTTTATTGTGCTGCTAAAACATTTTTAAACTTTCAAAACGCACCTAAGACTGCTGTCGAATATTTTCAATTATGTTTAAATTTAGCCCCATTCAGTATGTTTAAAAAAACTTATAATAAAGTTATAAAATAAATAAATGAAATTTTTATATAAATAAGATGTTATTACCCCCCCCCCCCCCATTTTGTTTTTGCAAGCATATCTATATGAAATATAAAGAAAAAAAGTGAAAAAATACAACAAAAATGACATTCAAGAAACCAAAACTCAAACAGAAACAAGAAGTTACTCTCAATAATTTTGTGAAATCACCATAGAAAGGAAACTGGTAAATTTTTTTAAAATGGTATTTTTGAAGAATGTACTTTTTTCTTTAAAATTTATATAAATTATTCAGTGAGAACACCCACGATTTTCAAAGTTCCACAAAAAAGCATTTTTCACGAAAATCCACGTTACAATACAGAAAGGCAATTTTAAATGAGCAATATATCTTTTGATGGCTCATATATTACTTCTTTCAAGGCAACCATAAGCTAAAACGCTATCGGCAATTGGTCGTGGATTTACTGGGATTGCCTGTCCCTGACTACGAGGCAGCGAGGAAATATGTCAGCTATTGCCTGCACCTTCTGCAGAGCTTCTACAGTAACACGAACTGGATCGAGCTCAATGGGCAGACTATTTACACTGATTTAGGTAAGTATCAAGTAAAGCAGGATTAAGTCAGCAAATCCCCTATGTACTTTAGGTTCCTTAATTTCCCTTAAATGATAGGATATAAAACATCCCCTGGTCAAATGTTAATCTGCACTTTCACTGCACAAAAGACTTAAAAAACAAAGGTATTTTTAAAATGGTCATGACTAGATGGTACGACGTTAAAACTCTTCAATGTATATTAATATTATATACGTTATCTTTTCATTATCCTAAGGATATTAGCAATATACATGAGGTCAATTTTGGTTTGGTTTTGTGATCACTGAATAAAGGTCCTGTTCTAAAAGATATATTCCCCAGACTTCCATCATACACACATAAAAATGAACAAGAACCTTGCATTAAATCTTTTGATATTTCTTTAAAGGAATACCCGGAACACAGCTCCTTCCTGTTGCCCCGGCTGATATGGATACGTGTTTAAGTTGTAGGTAAGAAAAATAAATCAACAATGGAGACTTAGCACCAACAAGAGATGTACCCAACCACTTAGAATATTAAATACTATATCTTTAAAGTTTATACAACTATAAAGGCGTTTTCTTTTGATTTTGGACCCTTTCGATCACTCTTCATCCTATAAGTGGTAAAGTAAGTGTACAGCAAACAGTCTGTTGTTCAATCTGAAGTAGACGCAAATTAAGAGTATTAGATTTGCTTATTTACACACCGACGCACAATTTATTTTTCAATCATGTGACGTCACAATTTTCCTCCTTCTCTCCCAGTAATCAGGAAGATTTGGATGGCTGTGCTGACAATTTGATAGATAACGGAATGGTCCTTACCAGTGGCTATCGCTCAGGAATCGACAGTTCTGGCGGAACAGGTGATAACTTTAATAGCAACGTGAAAATAAAGCCAGTTTTTGTGTTAGCAACCTCTTCAATGTAACTTGATCATTGTCCTATCATCCACTTTACTGGCAATTTCTAATATATCATAAAAAGGAACGTTTGCATATTAATTGACTGGGTTCTAGTACAACATGCTTTTTGTCGGACCCAAGAACAAAACTGTCTTCCATGTTTCCGATAATTGATTAGATGTAGCTGATACTACTTACCGTGTGACATCAAAGGTCATAACTCTCGAGCTTCTTATGGATAGGTCCAATATCTCGGACAGCGCCCCAACATAGATTTATTTGGACTGCTAAGAAATATATTTGAAATTTTCTCTTTTTTTAAGAAAAAACGATTTTTATGGGAAACATGGGTATTGAAAGTTATTATTTACATACCAATTCTAGCTTTTCTGAATAGATGCAAAATGGTATGATCCGCACAATTTGCATATATTTCGTCAGGTGCCTAATGAAACAAGGATATCTTGTCAGCACTTTGCAAGATATATGTGGTCGATACGATAACCATGCCTACAAATACAATCTATCGTTCAGTCGAATTATCGTTGACGTTTATTTTACAAAATTATAGGTCATAATTTTCACATTGAATTCTCTAAGGATTTTCCACCGGCAAGAGGTGGCGTCTCCATATGAAAAATTCTCGAGAGGGGCGTTAAACAATTACAAAAAATCAATCTAAGCATTTTCCGGTCGCCCTATCATGACAAGAAGCACACAGCTTGTGAAACCGGTCAACAGTAATCCCACGTCTGATGTTTAAAGAATTCCATATTAATTTACTCTGTTCTCGATTTGTATTGATTTAATCGAGCATTAGGCTTGATTATGCTTTTTTCTCTCCATATTTCAAACACAAATGAATTTCATAATCAAAGCAATATTGTTGATTCAAATACTATAATAAGAGAAAGGTTAACTAACTCCATAAATTAGTCCTGCCCTTATACCCAAGTCAAAATGTCCCATTTCGAACATAAATATAAAGTAGAGGCTAAGTGTTTTCATATCCTTTAGAAATTTCTTCTGAGAGTCAAAGTATTGAAAAACAGGTTTTGTAGAACTGCAACGTTTTTGAATTTTGAAGAAAATGGATGAATTTGAGCATCTTCAACTAAATAATTTTACTTGAATAATATCCTCATAGTAAAGGAAATGAAGATCAAGTCCGGAAAATGTGCGCATGGTGGCCCTAACATTTCATCTCCAGACCAAACAGTGAAAGGAGGAATAAATAAGGAGACAACAGATCCACGATATTCCCCACATTGCAGACTTCATAAAGATGCTGCTTTAGCCGCTATAGATCACACGAGATACTTTTTCTGCGATAAAGGTTAGTCTTTCCAGATTTGTCGTTATGTTTTATGTATTTTTCAAAGGAACCTGATTAAAGTTGGCCTCTGTTAATGTTATTAGAAAGTATTTTTAATATACAGAGCTATGTCAAGATTTATGTAAAACACTCATCGTATAAGAGATTTTTTTTCCTTTCAGAAAATGGATTAATAAAACATATCGGCTCGTGGAAGCTCAAAATTCTTCTTGGAGCAATCAAAGAACAAACTTTGATATTTGTCATAGACACGTCCCCTGTAATGAAAGGAGAGGTTGAATTAATCAAAAAAGTCATTCAGGCTGCAGTACAAGATACTATGTCATCTCGGACCACCAGTTATAAGTTTATACTGGCAACCGTCGGCAAAGACGGTACTTGATGCATTCCTCGTGATTATATCATAATTTAATAACATGCTTGTTAAAATTGTATTTTTTGTTTCCTTTTAATGAAATTGATTTTTAATTTAGTGAAGTGATTAAAACTGACCTACCTTTTATCAAGATTTGGTAGAAGTAACAGCCTTTGGCCAAACAATTTACTACGAATGATGTTTAAAATTGTAGTCAGCAGCATCCAGATGGAACATTATGTCAACGTTTTTGGTGTTATGAAGGCAGTAGATAATATAACGTATGAATCTCAACAGAACTGTCATAAACCGATTCTACAAGCAATACAGAAAGGTTTGTTCAAATGTCAAATACGTAAAAAACATTCGGTATAGGGAGTAATATAAAACAACACTTTGAAGAAAAATTTACAGACTTAACTCCTGAAAAAGAGAGCCAAAAGTAAAAGATTGGTGAAGAAAATAAATTGTCACCACCTTAAGAAAAACGTATTAGAGAAGAGCACATACCAATCATTATAGCTGTATATAGAGAAAAAAATAAATTCTAAGGCTAAATTTTAATATATGAGAGCTGCAAATATTGTTATGAAAAAAAATCAGATAGACCTATTTTTGGTCAGAGGAATGTAGAAAACACTTTAAAGGTTACATGTTTCCCGTCTTCTAGTTTCAGATGTTTCTCCAAGATCGTCCAAGATGATCGTTTTCACTGATTCCTCTCCTGATAACAAAACTTTGCTTAAAAATGAAATCGAAGCTAAGAAAATTGTCATAGATTTTTACCTTATGGGGTCATGCCATCGACGAATAACATCCTTTAGAGAAAATATTTACAACCGCTATGGCAAAGGTAAGAACTAGCATTTTATTCAACCTCGAGAAAAAATACATTACAGAAATGAAGAGAGAGGGAAAGCACAAAGACAATATAAACAGTAAGAGGGTTGTTCGAAAGATCGTGGATGATGTCAATCTTCGTTTCATTACTCACCAGAAATATAAACTAAGCACAATATGATATGTAAAAATATTTGTTTTGTTGATGTGTGAAATTTCATTCCTTTCGATTTAACAGAAATCAATTTACTTCATTTTAAAATCAACATGATTGTTTTGTACCCGCAGAGCACACTTAACGGCAATGTAAAGTCCAAATATAGCCTCAAGAATTTCTAAAAAATACTATCCCTTTACATTTCACACAGTATAATCCAATGCCCACTCATTCAATTATTTTTTTTAATACTTAACATTTACTTTTTAAGAATTGCTCTCGTTGTATAATTTCGGTTTTAATTTCTTTTATTACTTAACTCTGCTTACACAGGATACGCAACTCTAAAGCACCTGTCCAAATTTCCTTGACGTTCCAACTTTTTAAAGTTTTTGTTCAGATTTTGACAGTTAAACCGTGCGTAGCTTCACAGATTGTCCTTATCCGATACAGAGTCTTTGTCACTTAGCTACAGCCTGTACTATTTGTACACATATGCACAACTCGCTTGTGACATATTTTCTTGATTCCTCCAGCTTTTAGAGTTTATTCAGGGTTGTTCCCGAGTAAAACACAAATTGCATCGTTTTCTGCTGCTCTGTGACGTTCTAAAACGTCATCGTTTTTGTCGTTTTCAATAAGGACTACCTATCTTCTCAAGTTTATTTCATTTCAATAAAACAAAATATAAATCATAATTTGGTATACGAATCGATGTAACAATTATTTGAATTTCTAGATTGTTTTTTTGTTTTTGCATCACTTTACAGAGAATATGACTATTTACAGTCGTCATTGTGTTGTATATTGTCCGTAACTTACTAGATTTTGACCTGCTCCGCGGTCCGATTTTTGTATTTTTTAAAATCTGGATAAGTTTTGAATATTTACATCCACTGAATATTTTCTCCTTTATTTCTTAAGAAAACCCATTGCGTTAATCACTGCATGAACCACAATATCGGCATGTCGCTTGTACAGATTTCTTGATCAGTGGCTGTTCCATCAATAAAACATATAAAGACGTTCGCATCTTAATACAATAATAAATCTTTTAATCCTACTTTAAATGATTTTTTAAACAGATATAAATATAAACAATAAAATGTCTTTCTTTGTTTGTTATTACTGGAATTAATGGAAGCAGCTGTTGCAGAAAAAATACATAACCGTAAGCGGGTTATGTAAATTTTTTTCTGCAATAGCTGCAATACGCGGTAATAAAAAACAAAGAAAGCATTTTATTGTTTAAATAAATCTTAATATTTTGGAAAAATTTAATACAAATCATTTGGATTTATTGTAAAAATATTTCTACCAAACTTGGATAACATATGACGTCAAACAAAAAAAATATGTAAGCTGTCCACAAACTTTTCGAACAACCCTCGTACTTAATATATAAAATATAACAACGCTTCTAAAACAAATAAAAAATATAATGTACTGTTGTATTGCTAAAATCTTGTTATCATGAATATCACAGACACCCGCCGAAGACGAAGTACTTTCACAGTTCCTCTCAGCTTCCAGCAGATTGCTAGTAATTCTGGGGGCCAAATCTACACCGGATCTTCATCATTAAATCTATTAAATATTGTAAGTAATCGCAAAATCAAAATAAAACTGTCTTTGAATGTAGAATACAAACAATAAATGTTAATAATTAACTTAAAACTTACAATTCTCTTTATGTGTTCGATTGACGCTATTGAATTACGTCACTGTGTAAATTACGTGTTACACACTTATATGTACATGTATCTCTTTTATGAAAAGAAGAAAAAAGTATGATCGTCTGTATTCTATTTAGGCATCATCTCTTGACCCCGAGGTAAAGATTTTAAAGTTGGATTTCCCCGGAGGACAGGAGGGTTTCAGCACCCTGACTATTCCCACTGACGTTACAGTTACAAAGCTGATTATTCAGATCGATGGAGTCACACAATTACCCTCAGCCAGATTAAAAGATCAATTAGGTATCAATTTTTGTGTTTCTTTCTGTTTTCAGTGGTTTGACAAAGTATCAAAGCTTTTTAAATTAAATGTTCAATTTGCTAGAGGGCATTGTGAAAACAATAACTTGTAAACAATTCATTTAAAAAAAAAAAACAAAAACGATCAAGTAAAGTACATATAGTTTATAACCCTTTTTAGTTTGATAATTTCTATCGATATGTTTAATAATATCTATGTGTTTTTTTTATCATTTTAGGTAATGTATTGATTGCTGGGACTAATGGACAAACAAATATCACAGAAACAGACATTGGCACCACCACTACCATGGAGATCATTGTGAGTGATTATAGAAACTAAATTTGTTTATCGGTGAATCTACAAAATGAGAAAGATTGGCTGTCACTTAAGATTAAATTCATATTGTACTTTTAAAGCAATGACTGCTTCTTGTTTCAGAATCCTAAGCCTGGCCTTTATTTCCTCGAAAAAAATATTTACATTTTCTGGAAGGTAGAAGTAAAAGCCGTCAGTGAATTAGATTTTACAGCCCAACTCATGAAGTCCGATGCCAACAGCTATACTCTGACAGAGATAGAAGGAAGGCCATTAGTAGGTGGGTGCTCTACAAATGCTCTGGTGATAAAAACACTACAAACGGTCTGGAAATAAAAACACTATATTGTAGCTGTTCTTCTAGGAATTATATATATCTTTCATTTGTTATAGTTTTCTCTTTTCATAATTTGCATCGAAATTTGAGATAAGTTTTAAAAGACACAACATGTTTAATGGTATTCAAATTCACAACTACTATGGGAGACACCATGTTTATACAAGTGCTTTAAATTTGACAGGCATATTTTTCTCACTTTTAAAAATGTGGTATAAATTCAAATCCCAATACATTTTGTATGCAATATTTTGTATGCTCTCATTTAGTGAGAATCTCATTTTCTTGACCAACGTTCAATTGGTACAATTTGAATTTTCAGGAGACAACATAACTATTCTTGTCACCGTAAGTTTACCAGACAACGTCACGGGTGTATCAGACTTAGTTCTTCTGGATGAGAAGGGAAACACTTTGACGAACAGTATACTACAGCCGTATCCCGGCCGTAAGAAGGGAATATATTACTGCAATGTCATAGTGCCGTCTACGGTAGGTCCCTCTACCCCTCATTGCTGTATTTCTAAAGTTCTTCATTGTGTGTTATAAATTTTCATCATTTTAAATTCTAGAAGAAAAGTGTTACAGAATGCAAATGTAAACTTTAGTAAATCAATAAATTTAAAAAAATATGAACGAACTGACAATACTCGTATATAGAAATGTCATTCGTTTTCTTTTAGGACTTTCAAATAGCTATCAGTGGGGAGGATGGGACTGCCTATCATTTCAGGAGACTTCACACCAAACTTATCTGCCCTGTGCTTGTCAAACTAGAGATTCTTCCTTTTCCAAGTATGTCAAAATTTGTAGACAACAACAATAAACAACATACGTATGGACATTATAAAAAAAAGAATTTCAGGGAATTGTAAATCAGTTTTTTTTTAATTTAAATAATTATACCTATTGGAGACTGGTACGAACTGTATTTGTTAACATCTTTGACATGCCAAAATCACCATATTTTTCCAGATCCGTTATACACGGGGCGGAACTTTATAATCCAGTACACAATAACTAACCTGGGAGCAGGCATTACAGAGATACTAGCAACCTTCAAAGATAGTCAAGGATTTGGTGTAAGCCCCTTCAATAGGACACACCAACTAGCAGCGGGTGCAAATGTCACGGACATGTTTGTCTTGCATGGAGGGCCTACCCCTGGAATCACAACGTAATGTCTCTGTCAGAAATTTATGATGAACTTTTGTTATTCATTAAATCACTTTATCGCAATGTTATTTTATTTTTTGTTTGACTGTTTAATTTTAGGTTTGTTACGGTAACTGCTGAGCCAATAACATCAGGAAATTCTAATTTTCAATATTCCACTTTTTCTCTAACAACAGAAGATCCCAGTAATAAGGTACACCACTTATAATGGTCCAAGCAATTCATTTTCTATTCTTTGTTTTGAAAGATTTCGTCAAATACGTTGTTTAATTTGGCTTAATGTAGACCCCAGATACCACGCCCCCTGATTGCAACATCACCAAAGTATCCGGAAGTTGCAGTTCTGTTACCCAGTGTGATTGCAACATGACCTTGATAACAACTGAGCTGGAGATCTTTGACATTGGTGAGGGCATAAAAACAATATCTTACGGAGGAACAGGGGGAGCGGCGGTTAACTTTTCGTATGATCCCTTCATTGCCGGACTTGTTCTGAGTCAAGGGACTGTAAAAGCAAAATTAACGTAAGTAACAAGCAGACGTTTTCACATGGTAAAAATGGCCATTAATTGTCACACATACATGGAATCAGGTTTTGAGAGATTATTAAATATACACATGTATTTATATCAGGGAACAGTAAATGTATACTGTTTATTCATCTTTCAGAAAGGTACTAAACAAGTATATGAATATACACATATATTTGTTAGTGTTTCAGAAAATGCTACATTTATAATAAAAGAAAATAAATGTATCTAGAGGTCAATTATATCTGAAATTCGCCTTTATTATTTAAAGGGCAGATTGTTGTCGAGTCTCCGAAGACATTACACTTACAGACTGGAAATCAACAAGTCAGTGCAATGTTCCAGTTAACCCGTCGTGGATCCCTGGGACTTGTACAACGACACCACCACCAACTACGACAACTGTTTCCATGACTACTGATTCCTTAACAACAGACTCATCAACCACTAGATCCACTTCACAAAATAGTCAAACAAGCAGTTCTCCTTCTAATTCTGCAACCTCTTCGCCAAATACGACTGCACCACAGACAGGAAGTATCAAAACATCATCCATTACTTCCGGGAAATCAACAACCACTTCCTCTACAACAACGGTATTGAATTAAAATATGTCAAATGAATTCACAAAAATAAATACCTCTCTAATGAAGGATGAGGAAAAATAAGATAAAATTTGAAACCTGGGGACCGTTTTACAAAAGAACTAAGACCAAATTTATGTTGATCATCAAATTCTGCAAAATTTAAAAAGAAGAATTAAACCTTTTTTCAAATTCATGTGAAATAGAAAGTTATAAGCAGAATTAAACTTTGATCTTATGTGTAAGTTCTTTAGTAAAACGGGCCCCTGCATATATTAAGATTCGTGATTTAATTACTATATTGTCAGATTTTGAGTGATTTGAGTGTTTTAATAATTTTGTAATACTATCATGATTTTTATTTTTAAATTTTGATTTTTATCCTCAGAAATCTCAGTCCTCTAACTCCTCCGATGAAAGTGAGACAGGTCTAAGCACCACGTGGAAAATCGTCATAGCAACAACAGCAACAGCCGTGTCCGTAGCCGCTTTGTTTACTGGGGGTATTCTTCTAAGAAAGAAATTCACCACCGTGTCGCCTGATTGAACAAAAAATCCTATAAAACATGGGTGTACCGGTGTGCAAATGGCGAGGTGAAAATATCCATTTAATTGTAAAATCTTTTACAATTCTTCACTCTTGTATTCCTTTGGCCAAACATTTGGTGCTTTGTTTTGTATGTACATATCTTTTAATTTATTATTTTTTGTTTTTCTTATAATTACGTTATTGTTTTTATTATTTATTTTATGGTTAAGACTGTATGAAATTAAATTTCTGATCTATTCTACCGTCCATTCAGTTTACCGTCCTTTTGAATACATGTATTGCCAATATGAACTTAAATGCGCATTAAAGCTTTGTTGACAAAATTATCTGAGTTTTAAAATTTTGCACAAATCAGTTGGATTCATATCATGAAAAAGAAACTTTTTTCTTGCTTAATGACCTCGTTCCCTAATTTTGACCTAATCTGCGACATGTCTGTGGAAAGTGGGGGGGGGGGGGCTAAATCTACGAAGCAATGTTCAATGTCTATACTAAGTATATATTTGGGGAAGAGAGCCCCCCCCCCCCCCCCCCGGTTCCAATCTTTTAACATACTAGTCAATAGATAGTAGTAATAATAGGAGAAAGGAAGTGGCCACAGATTATACTAAGTATTCTATCAAAGATGGATAATTGATGGAACAAGTGTAAGGTACCAAAACACAATATAAAGAACTAATAAAACTATAAATCAAGGTATATGTTTTAGATTTGATATCCACTAAACAAAAAACGGCCCTTTTATTGTTATGAATAACTGATTACAATAACATAAGCAAGAACATAACATTGAAAAAATATTGAAAACAGAATTAGCTGTACTTTTCCCTTGAAGCACAAAATAAATTTTCCTGGACATTTGATATTTATATCATCATTTGACATTTTTATCTCGGGAGTATCCTCAGGTGACCTATTGTTATCTGTTTTTGTCCGTCGTCGTCCGGTGTGCGTCTTGTTAACATTTGAACAATTTCAGCTTCTTCTCTGCAAGCACTCAACCAATTTTAATCAATTTTGGCATAAAGCATCTTTGGGATAAAGAGGAACAAAATTTGTGAATTTCAAGGTCCCTGCTCCCTGGGACCTTGGGGGTGGGGCCAAAACCACTAAAATGAATTCAATTTTTAAAAGTCTTCTTCTTTACTCCTGGAGATCAAGCAAAACTGTTAGTATGATTGTAATCAGCATTCAGTCCTCTACCAAAAATTGTGAAATTCATGGCCCCTAGGTCAGGGGTTGTACTGCTAGGGCGGGGCTAAATAGATTTTATAGTGAAAAATACATTATTTAGTTGAAATTCTTTTCAGCTCCTGGGCATTAAATAAAGTAATCAAGTACATAATTATGTTGAACAAGGCTGCCTTTTTCAAAATTGTGAATTTCATGGCCCCAGGGTCAGGGATTCTAGTGTCGGGGCTGGGCTATATAGATTATACAATGTATAGTGAAAATAAATTAATTCTTCGACAATCTTCTCTGCTCCTTAGTATTAAACAAACAACTAAGTTCATAGTTATAATGAGCAAGAATGTATCTTTCAAAATTGTGAAAAGGGATGTTCTGGTGTAATGATTATATAGTGAAAAAACATAATTTTGTCAAAAATCTTCTTCTCTGCTACTGGGTATTAAATAAACTAGGCGAGGGCATAGTTATGTTGAATAAGACTGCTTTTTCAAAAATTGTAAATGGGTCAGAGTTTTTGGTGTTAGGACAGGGCTTTATTGATTATATAGTGAAAATGAATTAATTCTTTAAAAAGAATTCTCTTGGCTCCTGGGTATATAACCAATGAACTATGTATATACTAGTAGTTATGATGAGGAAAGATATCTCTTCCAAATTTATGAATTTCAGGGCCCCTGGTTTAGGGCCTCTGGTGTTACGGCAGGGTTCTAATGATCACACAGTAAAAAACCATGAATTCTTTGAAAATCTTTTTCCTTGCTCCTGGGTATTATGCCAATGATCTAAGTACATATTTATTAGAAAGAAAGATGTCTCTTCCAAGATGGTTAATTTCAGGGCCCATAGGTCAACGGTATTGGGTGTACATAGTCTGAAAATATATCAATGCTTTAAAATCTTATTTAAGTATTAATCAACCATTTATGATGAAATAGAATTTATGATAATTTTTTTTTAATATGTAGCCCCAGTGTCAGTAGTTCCTGTGGGATTGGGTGCACAACTCGTTATAAAGTGAAAATGCATTTTCTCTTTGTTTTTCTGATCTACCTCTGGGTATTAAGTAACCGAAGTAAACATGCTAAGTGTATAGTTATGATAATCAATGGTGTCTCTTTCAAAATTGTTAATTTCATGGCCTCTGGTTTAAAACACAAACCAACTTCAATTGTTGAAAAAAAGTTGTTACATGATATTCAGGTGACCTATAAGGCCCGTTGACCTCTTATCACCGTCCTAATACACATATCAAATCATTTCATCGCCGGAAAAATAACATCCTAAACGCTGCATCATATTTGCATTGTAAATTTAGTGTGTTTTAAAATCACGGCAATGCGTTAAAATGAGATAAGCTTTCCTAAATTCTGGAAAATCTCATCATTAAAAACTTATGTTATATTGATATTCACTTCACTATTTCAAGAAAATGTAAAGCAGCAATGTGTAGCAATTGATATGTTAAATATAATATTCATGGCAGAGCAGTGATGCAAAATGATAACGCACAACTAGGTAAGGGGATTCTGTGGGAAAGAATGAATAGATTATTCAACATTTAAAAATATCAATGAAGTTTTATTAATACACAATCAAATAAATTAGTCTCTGTTCATACACATTTTTATTAGCATAATTCATATACTCTCATATCTGTTACACAACTAAATTGCAAACAATGTGGCAAAATATTTACCATTTGATACGATTTTTTTTAAATCAGTGTTGGATACTTAGTCTTACAATCTATCATTATGCTCATTTTCATTGACACCAAAGGTATACTTCTTATAAAATGAGTCACGTATACATTTATATTAAAGCTAATTCACAACAGAAATATCCTAGCCTATCTCGTAAAATATCGTATCTTTACTTTCCCCAACTGTCATACTGGTTTTGACATCTGCAAAAAAAGACATCTCAGTCATTAATTTATAAATTATTAAGATTGCCGTGAAATGGTATATAAAAACATAATTCTATAGCAAAATTAAATAATTCAACTCGCTTTAATGATATATTGCTATGTATTGTTTAAGTTTATATTTTCATCCTTTCTATTTGAATATTTTTCATTCAGATGTGACTCTTAATCCAAGAAAATTAAACGTGTTTAAAGCGCAAAACAAGTTAAAACTATACTTACAAATCTTTAATAACGGTGCAAAGATATTTCACATCTATGTAACTTAAGATTATAGGAGGGGTAGTGATATCTTTCTTCGAACGTTCATCCAGTGTAAGATCCAATTTCCCGTTTTTCTCCTCCACCTGAATAGGTACAATAGAACCTCTTGTCTCCTCTGCTGCTGGTTTTGAGCTCACATTTATCACGAGATTGCAAAGAATATATACAGCAAATATAGGCAAAAACTTTGAATCCGACATTTTCCTTTCTTCTAAAAAGAAATTAATCTTAAATCTTAATATATTAATATCGAACATATATTATATTGTCAAAGCTAAAAAGATATGGCATTTCCAACCTCCGTATCTTTCAGATACAAATTTCTATCAAACATTTCTATAAAAATACTATCTTTTTTTCAAAAACAACGACGAATAGCATTATTTAGGAAAGGTTATTAAATGCGATTTTGTCAGATGCACTCAATAGCTGAAAACAGTAGTACAAAGATAAAGATTTATTTATTGAAATTGATAAAGGGATGTAATGATGTTCTCTTCATAAAGTACACGCCTGTTTATCAGATTTTCTGTGGGAGTATGTATTATTGATTACTGGGGTTTCTCAAAAATACAACTCTTTTGTCACTTTAAAGTAGCAAATTAAAATTTTCCCCTTTCACTTTTTATGCATGTTTTATCCATTGTCACAAGAATTGTCTTTTAACTAGCAAAAATAATGTGCAATTTAAAAAATGAAAATTTTATAATGTTTGTAAATTTTTATTAATGAAGAAACATTTTAAATAATATGGCTTGTATAAATTAAAACGCCTTCATATATTTGCCCTTTCAAATGCCTTAAGACCTTTCTCTTCCCGAACATCGTTTCAGAGGCGTTTCAATGTTCTGCTTTTTTGTAGTGCTTTATGGATTTTTGTATTGAATTCTGTTCGTTATCTCCATATCCTTCATTTCAAGACATTTGTCTTCTTTATGGAAAGAAAGTGAATTATTATATCAGCTTAATTTTTTCCCTTGTGTTTGAAAATTACCCATTACGTGAAAAAAAATCATACACAGAATTCTGGGGTTTTTTTAATAAAATTTAAGGATTATCCCAGAAAACAACTGTTCTTCAATTTATAATAATTTTACTTCTAGAAATTGAAGTTACATCAAGAAATGAATTAAAATGAATATGGTAAATAAAAGGTAACAATAATTAAAATTTAATATAGAAAAAAGGAACAGTGACTAAGCTAAGACGTCCACACGGGAGCACAGCAAACATGGACCTATAAAAACGTCAGAGATGGTAAAATGGTACAGGAGGAATAGACATCCCCTGTTGACTGGTTATTTATGTACTGATCAAAAAAAGTAATATCATGTTCAAAAGAAAGCTTTCTTTAAATAAGAAAACATGACGGCATTTAAACTCAGATTCTAAAAACATAAAATTCGATTCGGTATTATGCTTTTTGTATATTTAAAAAAAAAAAATTAAATGTTGTAAAGAATTGAATAATATTATTGAAATATTTAATACATACCTATCTTCTAACAGCACTTTTCTTACTTCCAAGAGAAGGTTTTTTTCTTGAGTGTACAACCAGACCTCAACTAAATGAATAAATCAATGAAAAAAGTTATCATTTGTTGATCTGACAATC